CTTGAAAACTGCAAGGACTCGTCCAAGCAGTCACTGCAGAGTCGGTAACGACTGAGCGCAGATTAAAAAAAAAAAAAGGCAAGGACAAGATGGTAGCTTGACTCCCAAATGTGCAAAATGTCTTCTGATTTTGAAAAAATGAGTGCAGTGCATCTTCATTCTTATACTACAGTTGTACTTTCTACTCTGGGGGCTCAGGTCTAATTCTAATGTGGCTTGTGTGAGTGTATATACACATACACATACAGTAAATGAATCCATTGCAGCAATTAACACAGGGGTGGGTAGGTCTAAGCACAAGAGGGAGTCAAAGGCATGAAGATGACAGCTACAACTGCTTAACAGAAGCTCTGTCCCCTTTTTCTGCATGTGTTGCATTTGTACCACATGGGAAAAGGGATGGGGATTTGATTGTGTAGTTATGGCTGCCATCTTGACTTTTTTTACTTTTCCTGCAGATGCCCCTAGAGGTGGGCAATGTGTGGGTCATATGAAGTTCCAAATGTGCCTTAGAACCATCCTGGGTAACCAGCAGTAACATGGCCAAATTTCAGTGAAAATGTTGATGAAAGTTCACACAGCTAAACAGAATTAAACCTATCTGGACTAGCAAGTGTTCAATAAATCCATGAACTCAATTACACCTCATAAAAGTATTTTTGTGATGATGGTCATAGTTGTTTATAAAAACTTCACTTTTACAAAACTTAATTTATTTGAAAAACTGTTCGTGCATGTAAGATCCCTGGCTAATTCTCATTAATTTTTACTATAAAATTTGCCAGTAAAATACCTTATTATATTTTATAGATAAAATGTTGAAATAACTTTATGCCAGAAATACAAGGATGTAATAATTTTGTAATAGTGAATACCATAAAAACAATAAAGTACCAAGTTAAAAGTGAAGGTTCAGGCACAATGTAGATCTGGGGGTAAAAATCATTTTCATGAAAAATACTAAATTCAGAACATTTTTTAAAAATCAGCATTTGCATACCCACCCAGTGTAAACTTCAAAATCTAAAAGATACACCCAGATAATAAGCAGATTTCACTGAAGAGAGAACAGAATATATTTCCTACCTGCTTTTTTAACTACAGAGAGTGTTGTCCTCTCAGGAGTTTTCTTTTTCCCCTCCTTTTTCCCTAAAAATTAATTTTAAAAAAACTTTTTTTATGCTGGAAGAATAAATCACATACTTCAGCCAAGCATATGAAAGAATACCATAAAATAATTATTTATGCCATTATTTTAAACTACTGAAGTCAGTCCAAA